TGAAGAAAAGGGAAAAAAAATCAACTTTTTGATGAGGAAGGGGATCGAACACTGGTACAGGCTCTGCAGGGAGAGCTTCGGGATTTCCATCTCTAGGGAAACTTTTTGAACAGGACACATTACTTGCCTGGATTGGGAGATCTGGGACGTGGCCTGAATGAACTAGTAGGTAAGCATGCCCTAATGCTGGTGATTTGTCAATGGCTAGAACCAACTTCCTTGCAACTTAGAGGCGCAGAGACCTCAGGTTCTTCCTTCCTAAGATTCATTGCTCACGCCTCTCTTTGGCTGCTGGTGTCGTATTTGCCATCACTGGGATTTACACGTCTGTATTTCTATGTCTCTGCCCACTAGGTTATGTTGTCTCTGAGGCTGGGACATGGGCATTACCCGGGAGGCATTAATATGGGTCAGTGTAGAGTTCTGGCCATTTGCTGAAGGGATTGAGGAACATTTAAAGGAACCTTTGAAATCCTAATCAACTTCTAAGTAACTCATTATTCATTTGTCCAATATTTATTGAGTTAAGCTATGACAAGTAATTTTTAAAAAGACTTTTACAGCATCTTCTATGCACACGGCATAGCACTGAACACAAAGAAAACTGATCCCCAACGAATCAGCTTAGGGTAGAGCCAGAGGCATAAAAAAACCATGTTTCTGGCACCAAGAATTGGAGACTTAAGGGGGAACCCGCTTGGCTGAAGAGAACACAGGGCAGTTTTGTGTCTGTTCCCAGCATTGCGGAGGCTTCTTCTAAACCCCATGGGTTCTGCTTTCTCTAACTCACACCGGTGCAGCACGCAGGGAAGAAATAAAATATGCCTGGTTACCTGCCATGAAGGTTTCAGAAGAGTCTCTCAATAAAAAACACTTTCTACTCCACTTTTCTCCTGGCAGCTTTTCCTCCAAAGGAATGTCCCGAGGCTACTGCCTCAGCTCCGGAGGCTGGCTGGGTTTCTCTCCTGAAGAAGGCCTCTTCCTTAAAATGCTCTTGATAAACACAAAGGCCACCACTTTTCAGGATTTCCATTTCAGTGTGCAAGTGACTGGCCTATAAACATAATTTTTAACAGCTTTTCTCCAGTAACCCTGACTGTTTAATTAATCTTCAGCCATTAACCATTCATTTAAAATGCCACTTGCGAAATCTTAATTTTGCACACTATCAGCTGGTTCACAAATAGCTAACCATGAGCAGAAGTGTAATGATCTCCCTCCTCCTGCTCCACACGCTCACCAAGCTTATAGCCAATTTTGGCTTCTTAATTAACCATATGCATATTAGCATTTAAAATTAAATGACAGGTTTTTTTTTTCTTTAAAGAATTAATGTGCAATGAAATGTTAACACTCATATTTGCCTTTTTAAGGGTCCCAAAATGTGCCTGGCTGGGCCAGGGCCATGCTGGGTGCCCTGTGATGACACACATGGAATTGTCCCTTGGCCTCAGTTTAGTGCTTGTAACTGAATGCATTCTTTTTCCTTTTTATTTATGTGTATGTGTGTGTATCTGGGTGGGGCTGAGGTGGGGCAGGGTGGGGTGTGGGGAGTGGAGGGAGTGGTTCTCAAGAAGGCTAGAAGAATATGTCCAATCTGCCAGAGTTGGAATTAAAGGTAGTTGTAAGCCTCCTGACACGGGTGCTGGGAATTGAGTTCTGGTTTTCTGGAAAAGCAGCATAGTGCTCATAATCACGGAGCCATCTCTCCAGCCCCTTGGAGCCTCATAAAACTGAAAATTTCTGAACACCAAAGGAAACTGGTTAAGTGAAGAAAAAACGTACTGAGTGAAGAGACTCTTTGTCAGATGTATGTGATATCATATATATACATATATATATGATAGAGGGGACACACACATGTATACAGAATATGCAACTCATTTAAAAATGAGGTATGGATCTTAACAGAGTTCTCAAAAGAAGAAATTAAAATAGCTAAGAAATATCTTTAAAAGTATTCGATATCCTTAGCAATTAAGGAAGTACAAATTAAAATACCTTGAATGTTATCTTGCCTAGTTAAAATGGCCAAGGTCAAGAAAGCCGCAGACAACAAATGCTGACAACATGTGGGGGAAAGTCAGCCCTCGTTTGCTGCTGGTGGGGTTGTAGGCTGATGCAGTCACTAGGGAAACAACGGAGGAGAACCCTCAAAACGCTAAAAGGATGATACCACTCCTCAGCATCTGCCCAAGCGACTTGCCGTCCTACCCCACGACCCTTACTCAGTCATGCTCACTGTCACTCAAATGGAGACAACCTAAACGTCCTTCGACCAATGAGCCGAGCATAAGGAAATCGGATACGCAAGCACAATGAAAGTCTGTTTAGCTGTAAAGAGAAAGAAATCATGAAATTTGCAGGAGAATGGGTAGAACTAGGAAATATTATACAAAGTGACATAACCGGACCCAGAAGGACAAATGCTGCCTGTCTCTTTTATTGGGGGAGCTGAGCTCAGAATCTGTGGATATGAGCATACAATCTAAAGTAAGCAGAGAAGCCAGGAAAACGGATAGGGGGAAGTGAGGTGCTGGGAAGGCAGGAAACACAAAAGGGGGGGGGAGGGCTTCTCACGGGGAGAGGGGAGGGAAGGAATAGAAAAGGAGAGAAAGGAAGGACCACTAACATTTGAAAAAGCCATACGAAATCACTTATTTTGTAAGATTACTTTCAAAATGCATTTAAACACATGTGTATAACTAAATAAATATGCATATGAAATGGAAGAAAAGGATATAGCACTAATGGTATTTGAAAAGGCCACAGGCTGATATATTATTCTATAAGCTTGCTCAGAAACACAAGTATGTGTATGCTGTTTAGAATTAGTTTTGTCATACAGGGCAATGATGTTCCACCAGGAGCAGAGGTCCAAGGGAGCCAAATAACATCGGCTATTGCCGTTGCCTTTGGGTTCCCTCCAGGATCTAAGCTAAGACTCTCTTTCTGAAGACACTACACTCTATACACCTAGCCAGCTACCCAGGGCTGAAGCGATTAGGGCCTTAGAGAGAGCCTACTACTGCCATTTTCCTAAACCAAGGTCATTTCTAACTGAATTCTAAATACTGACCCTTACACCCACAGGGAATTACAGCTCTCACCCCTCAGCAAAGAAACTTCTTTTCTGTAGCAGACAGATACCATAGGAAAGCCAAAACTGGTCAAAATGTGGAGAAGCAATGCCCTTGGGATGGCCGACCACAGCTGGCACATCTGCACTGCAGTGCTACTTTGGATCCCTGTTCAAACTTCCTTGCATTTATGTTTATCTTTTGTTTGTTTGTTTGTTTGGGGGTTGACGCTTGTATCAAGGGCCTTGTGTATGTAGGAAAATGCTCTATTACTAAACTACAAATTCAGGAGACATGAATTTTTTTTTAGTGGATTATCTATTAGGTCATTCGAATCAAATCAAGGGGGTGGTGGCAAAACAGAATATTCTGAGCCCACCCCACCCAAAAATTATCAATTGATTTTGAGATGACTTTTTCCTAACTAGAATTCTGATCATTAAAGCCTCCTGGGGAGTCACTGTTCTGTTTCAGGTGTTATCTGGGGCCAGTGTTCAAAGTAAAATCTAGTCCAGATGGCTCACACCCACTCATCACAACACAGAAGACTTTGTATCATAAATTCTCCTATGGGTCACATTGGAATCTGATGGATTACTGGTACCAGAGCCAGCTTGAAGCTTCCAGGTCTATGAGTCTGTGCTTAACTTAGGTACAGCGAGATACCTTCAGATCATATGTGCATATTAGGGAGAATTATATAGTCTCTCTTTCTTTCCTTCCCCTTTATGGGAACAGTGGGGAGAAGACTGGGGATTGAACCTATGATCTTACACAGAGGAGGTGTGGTGGTTTGAAAGAAAATGACCCCCAAAGGGAATGGTCCTTTTAGGAGGTGTGGACTTTTTGGAGCAGGTGTGACCTTGTTGAAGGAAGTGTGTCACTGCAGGGGTGGGCTTTGAGATCTCCTACACTCAAGCTATACTCAGTGTGACACACAAAGTCTTTCCTGTTGTTTGTTTGGGGATTGCTGCTTGTATCAAGGGCCTTGTGTATTTAGGAAGATACTCTATTACTAAACTGCATATTCATACCACACCAAAAAACTAATTTTCAGTGGATTAGCTGTTAGGTCACTCAAATCAAATCAAGGGGTGGTGATAAAACAGAAAGTCCTAAGCTCACCCCCCAAAAATTATCAACTGATATTGAGATGACTTTTTCTCTAACTAGAATTCTGATCTTTATATCAAGATAGAGAACTCTCCGTTCCTTCTCCAGCACCATGTCTCTCTTCAGGCTGCCATGTCCTGCCATACAGATAATTGACTAAATCTCTGAAAGTGTAAACCAGCCCTAATTAAATATTTTACTTTATGGAAGTTGCCATGGTCATGGAGCCTCTTCAGAGCAATAAAGCCCAATTGAAACCCGAGGTAAGTACTCCAGCACCGAGCTACAGCCCTAACCCACATCATGGCGAACTTAGAAATGCTTCTTTCTCTATTATCCAGATCCAGAGACTCTATGGAGAGATGTAGATAAAGACTCTAGAACGAGAATCATGTGGCATCCTTAGTCAAACTCTCCGTGCCTGGAATGAGGAAAGTTTTCTATTAAAAATGTTTTACAACATTGCGAGAGTGAAAATGGGGGAAGATGGCAGGCTGCTCTCTGAATCGTAATGAGAACCAAGGCAGAGCGTCTTGAAGTCATTAGAACTGGGGTAGGCGACAGGCTGGTGGGTAAGAGCTTCATTTGCTTACATTATACCTGTGCAAATTGCTGAAGCTACTTTAGGCTGAGAATGCATGTGCAGGTGGCAAAAAAATTAAAACCGCAATTAGAAGCAGAAATGTACTGATTGACGAAAGAACTTTGAACCAAACACGAGCATAAACAACCTGCGACTCAGCAAACTCGGCCTTTTGTAATCCTGTTAGCATTTTGGCTTTGAAGCCAAATAAGTACTTAAAATGCAAGTAGATCTTGACTCGGCAATTTCTGGGGCTGTATTCCAGTAGAATGACAATAATTTATTCTTTTCCAAGGCCTTTCGGCCTGAAAGGAATCAAAAGAGCTTTCCAAAGAATAATGCAGAAAACCTATTTCCAAAGTCACTAAGCCGGATCCATCCTGCAGTTCATTCACTGATCAATTCTTTTGACAAACATGGACTTGATACCTACTGTGCTGAACACTGGGAAAGATGCCTAAGGTAAGTAAAACCCACATGAAGGGTTTTGTTTTCTTTAGGAATGCTTTGTCAAGGAATTCCAGGCCAGCAGCATGGGCATCACCTGGCAGCTTGTGAGAAATGAAGATTTGGGGGGGGGCTAATTTCAGAAGTAAGGAAACAGAAGCTTTGAGTGGGGGGGTCTAGGGCTTGGGGTGCACTCTTTGAGTGTGAGGATACTGGGCCATGTAAAGGTGACCTTCAGAGGAAGGAACAAGCACTTAGCAGCTTCCTAAGGTGTGAAAGCCACGAGAGTGAGGGGCAAGGAAGGAGAGAGGTTAAAACTCTGGAGCAGTAGGTGCAGATTCCTAGGAACTGGAAAGTGGTGGCTATCCTGAGATGCAAGGCTGTAGATAATGGGGAGCACAGGAACCTGCATGCATCTCTTGGGGAACTGAAGGGAAGGGAAGAGCTGAGCAGACCAACTCCTTCAAGCACCAAGCTGCTGTTCTTGTTCCTGGCACCCATAGAAGGACCTTTGCTTCTCCACATGTTGTGTTCTTTCCACATCAGGGCACCCACTGTGGCCTCTTCTGCTGAGATACCATGTGCACCCATTTAGTTACCAAATTATTAAGCATTAAAACCTTCCAGATTCTACTTTAAATGCTACTTTCTCAAAGAATATGTCTTCTTCTTCGGTAATATAAAAGTGTTCACAACATCCGGGGTCTCCATTAGAGTACTCAGTAAGGGGATATAATCAAGTATTTAATATTTGTCTTCTCCAGAAGACCTCAAGTTCTCTTAAGGTAAGGCCTGCATCCTCATTTTACTGAATGAACATATACTGAGGAAATACTATTACTACTTTAGCAAATATGAGAGAATTCAAATAAGTGTTATAGAATCATATTTTCAGAGCCTTAGCCTGGGAGCTAAGGTCGTGTAATACATATCACGGGAGGTTCCTGTGACCCCCATATTTATACATTTTTAGATCTTTCTGTTCCCAACGTTGTCTATCTAAGGAGTGCAGGGCGGGACATCTCAAACCGCAGCAGCAGCAAAGCCAGGAGGGAGAAGATGACTGAAGCTCCCCAGGAAGTCAGTCTGAACGGGCCCCAGCGCTGCAGGTCCACCGTGCACTGCCCAGCTTCAGTCTCCAAGAATGCGACAAGAACCAGGGGCACCTTTGACCTAGTATTAAAGAGGCTCAGGGACATTGACTCTGCAGTCAGGGATCACAGGAGTGCTGGGGTAGAGAATTTATTCTCAGCTTCAAGCCCCAGGTTACTGAATACTACAAGAAAGATAATAAACTTGAGAAATGGCAAGTACTCCAACTCTTCTCAAGAGACTATGTGATACAAGGAGAATGTCTCGACACGGGGAAAATACGAAATACTCAAAGGATTCTATTAAAATTGTCATCAGCATGGCTGGCTGCTGTCACCACCACCACCACCATCATTGTCACCCCTATTACGTTCCTAGATCCTCAGTCCACTTGTAAGCATGTTCTGGAAATCCATTACCAGAGATAGATATGTTTGGAGAAAGTGCGTCTTGAAAAAAAAAAAAACCAAGATCCAAAAGGAAATTTATGAACTGCATATCCTCAAAGCTGCATTTAGAGTCAAATGATCTGAAAATTACTACTGAAGTCTTCTGCTTTACATCTTTTACATTTGCCAGTGGATTAGTTTTGAGCCTTGGAAGTCACAGACTCATAAAAAGTAGTTTCTGAGACTCTAATCTGTAACGGAGCTTATCATTGCAATGTGGTACTGTAATGCCACCACCACCACTACCACACACACATACACACACACACCACATACACACTACCACCATCACCACTACCACATACACACTACCACCATCACCACTACCACACACACACATACACACACACACACTACCACCACCACCACTACCACACACACACATACACCACATACACACTACCACCACCACTACCACTAATACCACATACACACTACCACCACCAGCACTACCACACACACATACACACACACCACATACACACTACCACCACCACCA